CTTAAGTGAACAAGCCAGTTGATATTAGTCAGCATTATGGAACTGGGAAAATGGGAACAGCTTTCTTAAGAGAAGGTAAATAAAAATATGAAGCCTCTGTGGCTCATCAGGTCCTAGCTAAACTCCTCCAGGGAGATTCCTACATAATCATCCTGATTTTTACAGTAACTAATTATTCTGACAGTTACCATATCCAGCGCCCTTCCAGCAGAAAGGCTTAGGCAATAACCAGAAACAACTCCCTGTCTGTACTGGGAAGGAAGCAGACTCAGGATGGTGAACTTTTCTCAGGTCACAATCTCACCACTTGCCAGTTACACTTAAGACTAGGGGCTGGGCACTAGGAAAATAAACTCATTTATTCTGCTTTCTCATCTGGTAAGGTCTTGCTCACATCCTACCTAAATTACTCTGACTATAATTCAAGGGTTTTTTTGAATTTTTTATTTAACTTTATTTATTTGTTTATTTATTTATTCATTCACACCCAACAAGAGAGGGACAGAGGGGGAGAGAGAGAGAAAGAGAGAGAGAGAGTGAGAGAGAGAGAGAGAGGGAGGGAGGGAGGGAAAGCAAGAAAGCAAGAAAGCAAGCCAACAGGTCTAGGACTCGAACCGTGGTTGGCCATGTGGGAGTCCAGCACCCTTAACCACCATGCCACCTGCCAGCCTCCTTTCATTTATTATCTTAAATGAAAAGGCTCTAAAAGTCTTCTTTTCAGCTAATTCTTTTATCAGGGAATCAGGCCTTTTAAGGAATAGTGCAAAAGGGAAGAAATCCTCCACAGTGCTTGGCTCAGAGATGATTTCTCGCCTCTAAACACAGGGGACTGGTGTGCACCAGGTCAGAGTTGTTGAATGCGACATGGTAGTGGCAGTAGTAGTAGGAGGATGGCTAGTAACAATATCTGTTCTCTCGAAAGCTACTGGATTGAGCAGTTAGAACTTGTAGTATGGAAAATTCTACCTCCTGGTTTTAGACTTACCTCCCAGACTTTGGACAGTTTAGCTCTCTCCCTCATTTTCCGACACCCGCCCCAATCACTATTTAATCATTTCGACAAGAGAGAAGAGAAGCTTTGATGAAGAGAACATAACATACTGTACATATTTTAGGTATATATTACCCTTTCTCCATTTAGTCTGTCAAGAATTCGGTCTCTGCACAACTGACATCCTTCCCTCAACCCACTCCGTGCAGAGAGAAAAAAGAGCAACTGGCTCTCCAAGACTTCCCTTCACATCCACGTGTTAGTCACACAATACTGGAGAAAGGTAAAACCAATAAAAGTTAAATGGGAGTAAAAAGGAGCCCGCATCTTTGCTGAAAATATGGCATTCTTGCAGAATGGGCAGGCAAAGTAGCACAGAAGCCAAGTCGTACAGCCAAGCTCGCCTATCTACATTATTACATATCGCTGATGTTTTATTGTGAAGAACTTTTTACACTGCATGTCCTTAAAAATGAGGTCTGAATTTCCTGCATACCTTGTCTCCTCCTTGTGCACCAAATGCAGCATGTATACGTTTGATAAATGATGCAAAATGATCGACATGCCATTTCCCTGTGCTGGTGATGGACGACTGTATCAAAGAGGGTGAAATAAGCTGATTTCCAGTCCACACATCCACTAAAACCCCAGCCAGGTATTCAGGCATCTCTTCAAGCTTCTCTCCTTGGCTTGGTTTGTTTAACTCTCATTTTCCTTCACAAAGATTTCCCCTATTACAAATGGTCCTTTACTGCCATGTGATAATTGAGTGGTATAAACTATACGGCTTTGCTCTTTTTTCTTCTTCTTTTTTTTTTCTTTGTTTGGAGAGGTTTTTTTCTTATTGGGCGCTTGCGCTCACCAGAAAGACAGAGAGAGAGAAAGCGAGAAATCACCCCCAGGAGGGGATGGCCACACTGCAATCTCGTCTGCTCCATTCTCCTCTTGGGATCTTGGGCACGCTTGCACATGCACCCATGCACCCAGCGTGAGTTTAAGCCACCGGGTCCAGGACTTGAACCACAGTTGACTACATGGGAGTCCAGCAACATAGCAATTACGCTAACTGCTGGTCCCTGCTCTTTATTCTTTACAACCTTTTTAAGTAGCTTAGCAGAAGACTCTTGCCATTTAAAGCAATGGTATTGCTTATCACTGAAATGATGCAAAGTCAGTTTAATGAGACCTCTCTTGAACTTACTCCCAAGTCAGACAGTCCTTCAGGGGCCAATCTTTATCTTCCTTCATGTACTTCTCTATTGTACAACAGAATGCTTGTTCTTCTCTCCCTTCCCCTTCCTGTTTCTGTCCCCCTTCCCCTTTCTTCCCTCCTTTCCTCCCTTTCTTAAGGCATATACATGGTGTTCAGGTTCAATAGTCATCAGGAAAAAGAAATCTGAATTTCCTGCCAAATACCCATGCTGGGCTGTTATTAGGTAGAGAGGACAGAAGACAAACTAGTCGTGGGGCAGGGAAAGCGTCACTGCGTCTTCCTCTTTCACTCTTTGTCTGACCCACAGCAGACACTCGGTAGTCATTTACTTGTCATGTGAGTAATAAATAAAATACTAAATCAAAGTGCTGAAGAAATCAAGTCGAGGTGACCAAACCAATTTCAGAAATATGGAGATGAGGATTTTTGGAAGGACAAAGTACAGGATTACAGCAGGGCCACTTACAAGACAAGGACTTTATCTACAACCTCTAGGTATGTGGATGGTTATCATGAGACTCCCTTTTTATTAGGCTGGCTCTGTTCAGACCTTGTAACAAAACCTGAAAACAAAAATCTCTTACAAGTTTAATACTAACTGGAGCTCTGAGTTATGGCTGGGATTTATTTCTGATTGCTTTATGCCGGCACAATTTACAGACATTATCTTGACCATGGTAACAAACTTGAAACTATTAACTTTATTTTCAAATAAAGTAAAGGAAGCAGAAAGGTCAAACAGCCTAACTAAATCAACTAGCTAATCTGGATTCAAACCAGATTGTATGTCTTAGGGTTTTGTTTTTTTTTTTTCCTCCTAATTACAAAGCTTCTCACTGAATGATCAAAATGCCAAATACCAAGCAAGAAAGATTTGTGGTTTTTTTTTTTTACATGAAAAAATTTAATAATGGTAAAATATACACAATATATTTGGTTGTTGGAAAAGTCATGACCTATTTCTCTCTGCAAAAATGTGTCATAACTTTCTTGATGACCCAATAAAAATCTACTTTCACAGTCATTCTTAAGTGTCTATTTCATTTGTGTTAACTATATTAACATTGCATAACAGATCTCTGGAACTTTTTCGTTTTGTATCAATTAAACGGAAACTCTACTTATGGAGTAACTCTTCATCTCCCTCACCCCAGACCCTGGCAACCAGCGTTCTACTTACTGTTCCTGTGATTCCACCGGCTCTAGATCTCTCACAATAAGTGGAACCAAACAGGATCTGTCCTTTTCTCATTGGCTTATTTTGCTTAGTCTAATGACCTCAAGGTTCATCCATGTTGTATAGCTTGTGACAAAACTATTCATTTTCAAGGCTGAATAATACTCCATTGCATGTATATACCACTTTTTCACTGACTCTTCTGTCAATGGACATTTGGAAAGCCTCCACCTCTTTGAGATTACAAATAAAAATTTTTCCAGAGCCTGTTTTCAATTCTTTTTGACATACTGTCAGAAGTGAGATTTATGGATCTTAGGCCAATTCAGTGTTTACTCTGTGGCGGGACCTCCACACTGTTTCTCAAGCAGCTGCACTATTTCACATTCCTACTGGGAGTGCATGTTGTGGACAGATGGGTTTATAAACAGAATGACCATCCATGTTAGTATCTAATTGACCACATGGCTCAGCTTGGAGTCAAGTAAGAGTTCTTAAAAATAAAACTCAAAAAAACCTCTAACCCTTAGACCTTGTTCCTAGAACTAAAGCTAGGCACTATTTAAACATGTATTTTATATACACACACACCCACACACAAACACACACAGGTGGTTACTCCCCCCTTTTTTTGTTTTAGACATTTTTTTTTTGCTATAGAATGTGTGTGCATGCCAGAGGGACAGAGAGACAGAAAACAAGAAATCATCCCCTGGAAAGATGGCCATGCCGCAATCCCTTCTCCATTCTCCTCTCTGGATCTTGGGTGCACACA